GGGTACTGGGGCGGGGGGGGGGGCGGGACGATCAAGCAGTCGTCACGGTGAGGCACGGAATGTAGCTTTCGAAACCCGCGAACTGAAAACATTCCGCACGTGGGTGAACACCCTTGGAGAGGACAAGGGGCATATATAACAAGCCCAATTCCAGAGAAAAAAAAAATAAAAAAACAACGAGAGACAGACGCGCTGCACGTGACTGTTCATAAAATGCAACAAGATGAGCTCTGCCGTGTCATCGCTGGAAGGCCGCGGACCTCGCACCTTGGCAGCCCATCTGGCAGGCCTATCCCTGAGGGAAGGGCCCCTCGTGGCCACCCCCGCCGCCTTGGTGCCACCGCCACCGCCACCAACGTCCACACCGGCACCACCGCCGCCGTCGCCTCGCAATGCCGGACCCTTGCCCTTGCTGTTGCCATTTCCGTGGCCTTGTCGAGAGGGCGGCCTAGAAGAAGCAGCGTCGGGCGATCCGGTGTGGAGCGAGGGAGAATACCACGAGCAGTCGGCTGCGCCTGAAAGCCGCCGCCTCTCTCCCCCTTCTCCATCCCTTCCTCCGGCCGGGCGCCTACTCGTCGACGCCGTCCCCAGTCCCCCCGCTTCGCGCACGCCTCCTCCTCCTCCCTGGGGTTCTCGTCTTCGGGGTGGGGGGGGAGGGGCTCCGCCACGGAGTTTGGGCCACGCCGTGGCTCCGAACCTACCGCGCGGGGTTACCGCCAAGCCAAGCATCACCACCCGGAGAGGGGAGCAAAAAAAGGTCCAAAAAAGGAGAGAACACGAACACGCTTCAGCTTCTCGTTGATTCCGAGTCGTTGGTTCGTTTTCATTGTAGATGACCGGGGAAAATCGACGGTCAATCATCGCTCATTGCGAGGGGCCCCGAGAAGTACGGTCTGAGCGCGTATATTACGGGGTCCCGTCCGCGCGTGTGAGGGCATTTGCGGGGTCGGCCGTTGCAACGCGAGAGAGAAGGTATACTCCAGCACGCTACCGCACGGAGGCGAGAACCTTGCCCTGCCGCAGCTAGCTAGGCACATCGTTTGTGTGGCATGGACGACGAATGAACGCCTGTGTGGCATGGACGGCGGAAGATAGACACCTGTGTGCTGGAGGCGTCAAAGATTGATGCTGACCTAGAATCCGACACCGGCAAGAGCGCAAATGCGCGCATCCTCGAACCAGCACGCATCCATCCTACCTCTGTCCGGTCGCCGATGCCGGCCTCTTCCTCTTCCCGCCGCCGGCCGAACAAGCAGGGGCAACACCCGCCGCCACGCCCGCGGCGACTGCCGCTGGCGATGACGATGTTGGCGTGGTAGGCCTCCGGGGCCCTTGTTGCCCCCGCCCGGTGGCGGCCGCCGCCGTCGAAGGCGGCGACGACGATGCCATCTTACCCTCGAGCTGTGTTCGGTTGCTCGGGCGGTTGGCGTCGTCCCTGCCGCCGCGTCGCCGCCTCGGCGAGTCCCTCAAGTGCACGAGGCTGCTCTCGTTCCCTTCGCGCTGGCGCACCGCTACCTTGATGCCAGCGTGGGTGTTGTTGTTGCTGTTGTCCCTTGCGCCAAGCGAGGGCCAGGCGACGGCGACAGGCGTTTCTGCAGTCCGGTGGCTCGTGAACATCGTCCCCTGGGTGGGGAGGTGCAGAGAGACAGGTGGAAGCAAAGGTTAGCTCGGGAGGGGGAAGACATCTCGTGAAACGTGTCTTTACCTTGGAATAATAACAAACGCGCATTGAGTGAACGAAAATGCGTCGCTTGGAGGGCCAGCCGTAAGTCGCCGCACAGCGGTAGTCGAGCATAGTTCTTAAAACGATGCCTCAAATCAATATCGCGTTGTTGAAGCCGTCGCACGACCTTGTACGGATGATGAAGCTATGCGCCTTTGGGAGAGACGCGCGCTAGTCCCCAAGCTTGCCTGGTGCGCCGGACAAGTCTGCAGAGAGGCAATCACATAGGCAGATACGGATGCCAGAGAACCAGCAAGGGCTAACCACAAATCTCAACGCGAACTGCAAACAGAAAAAAAAAAACACCAAAAATATCACCTCCCCCACAACAGAAGAAAAACAAAGTTCGGACTTGGACGCCTCGATAGCTGGCGAATGGAACAAACAAAAAACAAAAACGAACCTGGGTTGCAGAACCATCATCACCGGCCCCCACGCCTACCCCCGCCCCGTCCGCTCCCGCAGGCAGCGACGGGGGCGTTAGCTGTCCCAGCGGGGGCACGCTGCCGCCGCTGCCGTCGCCAAGGGACGCCGTGGACGAAGACGGCGTATCGCTTGGGTCTGTGCTAACGCTTGCCCTGGGCGAGGAGAGGTCGCGGCCTTGGTTGCTGTTGTTGAGGAGGTCGTGGAAGGGGCCGCCTAGCGGAAAGGCGTCCCCGGCGGCGGCGGCGGCGGCGGCGGCGGCGGCGGCGCGTGTCGGTGTGGGTCTCATTGCCCGCAGGTGTCGCATGTTTGGCACCTGGAGCCGAGGGGCAGCGAGAGGAGACCGGGGCCCCGCGTTGTAGCGGATCGTCGCGTGAAGACACACAAACGGCTTGAATCTTTGGGTCTGTTGGTTGGGATTGTCTCGAGAGAAAATGTTGCTGCTGCTGGTGAGGAAGCGCGGCGTTGTCGGTGAGCCGCGGTGGGCAGCCCCGCGTCAGCGCTAACAAGCCGATGTCTTTTCAAGTGTAAAGTCAGGTGACGGCCGTTTCAGAAAACATACAGATCTCTCTCGGTTGTCACATCAAAGACGTCACTCTCACGGCCGACATAGACAGGCCCCGTGCCATGTCAACATGTAAACGGTTGTGCTTGACAGCGTAACGGCTTCCACTGCCTATCGCTATCGCAGTGGTTCCATTGCTGTGCCCCAACATTCTCGTGTACAACGCGTACCGTTCAACTACATACCGTTCGGGTACTACAAACAGATATGGGTTGTCCATATGGTCAAATCGACACACGAGTACACTCCTACAGAACTTTGAAGTCGTGCCCATGAAGGCGAGCGTTTCATCTTTGGCCAAACGTCCACAGGTGTTGCATTTACACCTTTGCCTATGTGTAACATCTGCAAAATCTTCAGGTTCTTCAGCAGCCTCATTTCGAAGTGGGAAGTGACCGTTTGGAACTTTCATGTAGTGCCGTGCGCACCTTCATGTAGTGCCGTTCGCACCTTCATGTAGTGCCGTTTCGTGGTCGCTCGCTCTCGCCCGCTGCGCCCCCCCCCCG